TGTGTATGTGTATATGTGTGTGTATATGTGTGTGTCTGTGTGTGTATATATGTGTTTGTATGTGTGTATGTGTGTATATGTGTGTGTATCTGTGTATGTGTATATGTGTGTGTATATGTGTGTGTCTGTGTGTGTATATATGTGTTTGTATGTGTGTATGTGTGTATATGTGTGTGTGTCTGTGTGTCTGTGTATATGTGTGTGTATATGTGTGTGTCTGTGTGTGTATATATGTGTTTGTATGTGTGTATGTGTGTATGTGTCTGTGTGTCTGTGTGTCTGTGTATATGTGTGTGTATGAAAGTGGAAAAGGAATGCTTGAGGAGAGAAGTATATAAAGAACAGGGAAGAGAAGAAAAAGAGAATAATGGAACGCGTGACCTGAAAGCAGAAGGAAGAACTATTTAGGGCCAGGAGCGAGGAGGGGGAGGGGAGAAGAGAAGTTCTGGGTGGAGGTTTGGAGGGAGGGAGGGGCTCTGGCATCCCGAAGGCCACCATGCAGAGACCTTGGTGAAGATCTTGGTGTCGCTCTTGGATCTTTCTTTGTAGGGAAGGTTGCTCTGGCGTGCAGTCCTGTGTCTGAGGTGAAGAACTTGTATACAGAACACAGAATTTAGAGGAAAGTGATGTATCCCCAAACTCCACATGCTAAAGAGAGCGGACCCCGGCAAGGTTCTGCTCAGGAGGCTCCTCTTGATCCCAGAAAGACGTTCTCTAGCTCGGGGGAGCTGCTGTAACTGCTCGAAGGGACGTTTCGCCCACAGTGAAGGGGAAATGAGAAGACAAACCCATTCACTGAAGAAATCAGTGCTTCGTTTCAGCATCAAACTTGGATTTGATTTCTGCTAAAATGACTAAAGGACAAATATTGGAAACAGAAACCAAATCAATGTGGGTTTGGGAGCACAACAGTCCTGGTGATGGTAGAGGAGGCGTCACCGCAGGGGGTTAGCATGGGCTGGTGGTGAGAGCGAGCGTGAGGGCTCACTGCACTTGTCCCAGACTGAACAGAAAAGTGGGCAAGGACACTCCAATTCCGAACCTCAGGGCTAGAACCCACACAGGCTCTTTCCTTGGGAATTTAAAAAAGAAAAAAAAAATGTGGGCGCTCTCTAGTGGGCACTTTGGAAACTGCCTCTTCAATCTTCACTGGACGTGTCTGGAAGGAGTGTGTGTTTGGGGGTGGGGGACGGGTCGCGGTGGGGGTGAGGGTATGAAAAGTCCTGGATTCATAAGCTGCAGTATCTTTACTTAACTAAACCTTTTAAATAAAGATGCGTATATTCGCCTTACTGTC